CCACAGGGCCAGGGGCTGCCCCGGAGGGCCCAGGGGCTCAAGCACTGCAGGTGCGGGCCTGTGGGGGAGGGTCAGGTGTGCCTCCGAGACACAGTACACCCAGCTCGCGTTTGGCTTTGCAGCTGGGGGTGTCCCGGGGTGCGCCCAGACAGGCTGTGTGGCTTGCACACCCACACTGCTCGCTGTCCTGCAGGCTGCCGGTGCGCATTCAAAGCCCTGGCGTCCAGTGAGGGCCGGGGCTGGGGCGTAGACGGGGTCTCTGCTCACCCTGAGGTGGGTGGCAGGGCGCTGCCCCCACGACCCAGGGGCCCCTTAAAGGGGCTCCTCCCTGTGCCCTCTCCCCTGGGGTCAGGCTCCAGCACCGGAGCTTGGGGGACACTCAGACCATGGCTGCACAGGGCACACCCGCCTCCCTCCCCAGGGAGGACAGCGTCACTTCTGCCTGAACCCCATTCTCTGCTTTTCCTCTTTGGGTATTTTAAAACTTCCCTGCGTGGATTTTCTTCCTTCTGACTTAACCCCTTTGCCAAGACCTGGCTTGTTTCTGTCTCTCCTTGAGCTTGGGGCGAAATGTCTGTTTTATGTCACTTCCTTTTTGTCCAGTGTGTGCTTTCTCCTCTCGGGTGCAGTCCCCGTAGAATCCCCAGCACCGGGTCACCCGGGCACCATCGCCACAGTCCCCTGTGCTCTTCCCACCCCTGTTTCCATCCCTCCCGCTTCCCTTCCCCTGCAGAATATCTCTGATTTAGACTTGCCTGTTAATTTTGTTTTTTTACTGAGTATAATCATCTTTCCCCCTCCCCTTACTTGGTCCCCCTACATTCGTCCTATAAATGAAATCAGTTTTTGGCTTATCCCACTGAGCGTCACCCCTTCCGGCTGCCCATGACATGAGCTTTTATCTTTTTGACGGCTGAGCAATATTCCACATATAGACCACATCTTCTTGATCCGGTCATCTGTTTGGGGGCATTTGGGTTGTCTCCAAGTCTTACCTGTTGTAAATTGTGCTGCAGTAAACATAGGGGTGCACGTGTCCTTTTGAGTTAATGTGTCTGTGTCCTTTGGGTAGATCCCCAGGAGTGGGACAGCTGGGAAGCCCCATTTCTAGTCATCCGAGGAACCTCCGCGCAGCTCCATAGTGGGTGGGCCAGTTTGCACCCCACCAGCAGTGTGAGGGAGTTCCTTTTTCTCTACACCCTTGCCAACACTGTTTCCTGTTTTTAAATAAGTACCATTCTCGCTGGTGTAAGGTGGTTTCTCATTGTGGTTTTGATTTGCATTTCCCTGATTATGAGGGATGCTGAGCCTTTTTTCATGTACCTGTTGACAGTCTGCATTTCCCCTCTGGAGAAATGTCTGTTTAGCTCTTCTGCCCATTTTTTTTTTAAAGATTTATTCATTTATTCATACAGAACTGGGGTACAGGCCAGAGATGCGGAGGGTGAGAGGATTCACTAGAGAGAGCGGGGAGCAGAAGAACAGGCAGATCAACGAAGCACACTGCTGAGGGGAGCAGCGGGCGGGTCAGGAGGGGTCTGCGGCGCCCTGTGGGTCACCTCCAGGGCAGGCGGGAATCGAACTCATGCAGAAGTGGCTTTAGCTTCTCAGTGCTGTGCTCCAACCCGCTGCGCCACCAGGGAGGGCCCCTCTTCTGCCCATTTTTGACGGATTCTTTACTTTGTTTTTCTTGAGCCACGTCAGCTTTGTGATCAGTCTGATTGGGGGAGAATTTAAATGTAAATTTCTTCCTCTGCAAATTCCAGTGTCCTATTTATAGTCAGAGTCCCCAGTGTGGTGACTGTCCTAGTTTGTGATTTGTCCATCAGAAAGCGCCTGGCCTGGCTCCAGATAAGAGCGGCAGAACGTAGCGTGAGCCACAGCCCTGGACCGAGGGAGGGAAGCTCCCCCGGGCACGCCACAGCCCCGGGAGCCATGCCGTCTGGGGGTGCACGCCCCTCTCCGGCTGCCGCACCCCCTTCCTGACCTGTGGTGCACAGTTCCAGCTCTCAGTCTTCTCCAGTGCACCCCATAAATTGCCCTGGGTTTCCAGCACTCCCACAGCCCAGGACCGTGACTTAGGTCAGGAAAGGGACGGTCCCGCTTCCCCACACAGCCTCCCCAAACAGCCGCGCCCTCCGTCGGTAGCTCCCGGGCGGGGTGCCCGGGGCCCCACTCACAGTGCGCCTCCCCGCAGAGAAGCCAGGAGAGCCAGGAGGACCACGAGGAGGACGCTGACCGCTGCGTGTGCCGCGGGGTGCCCGGACGGCCTCCAGGCGTGGAGGAGGAGCTGACCCTCAAGCATGGGGCCAAGCACGTGATCATGCTGTTCCTGCCGGTCACCCTGTGCATGGTCGTGGTGGTGGCCACCATCAAGTCCGTGCGCTTCTACACGGAGAAGAATGGACAGCTGTGAGTGCGGCTGGCGGGGTCACCGGACGCAGGTCACGCCCGCAGGCGCGGGGGCACCAGGAGCTGCCCGGCCGCCGCGCCCTGCGTGTCTGGGCGGGCTCCTGGCCCCCTGCCTCGGTTCCTGGCGCATCCTGGGCTTGGTGGCGGATTTCTGGGGGAGCCAAGCGGGCTGACACTCGGCAAGGGCCCAGTGCCCGCTGCCCGGCCCCGGACCTGTGTGCCCTCGCTGGGCAGCAGCCCCTGCTCTGAGGCCCATTCCCAGGCACGCTGCCCGGCTGGCCACTGAGTGACCACAACGGGGGGGGGGGGGGTGTCAAGGGGCTGGACCGGGAGATTTCTCAGTTCACTTCGCGCCGTGAGGGACGTTTTCTGTTTTGGTGAAGGAGCAGATCTCTGCAGGGAGCGTGTCCTGGTGGGGCTTAGAGCAGAGCCGGGAGAACCCGCCGTGGGGAAGGGGCTGCTGGGTGCAGCTGTGCGCACCCGAGGTGGCGCTGTGGGAGGGGGAAGCCAGGGCTCGCCCAGGCTGCGGCCGTGCGGGGAGTGGGCGGGGCGGCCTGGGCCTCGGGGCCCAGCGGAGAAGCTGGGTAGCAGC